TTCCTGAGTTCCCTCCAGCTGCGGACCTGCGTCCTGCTCACGGACTACCCCGACGCCAGCTTTGAGCAGTGGCTGGAGGAGTCCGGGGTGTTGGTCATCCGCCCCCTCTTGCCCTACGACGGCCGGCGCGAGGGGGCTCAAGCCGCCCCCTGCCGTGGACGGCCCTCCGGCGGCGGCGGCGGCGACCCGGGGGGGGCGGTCCATCCCGACGAGCCGGGCGGGATGGCCCCCTCCGCCTTCGGCTTTGACGGGGGAAAGCCCCCCGAGCTCGAGCGGCGGCTCATCGCGGAGGCCGGCGGGGCCGCGAACGACGGGACCACGCAGCCCCCTTCGCAGAGCACCTCTTTTGTGCACGGTATCGAGGAGCCCGAGCGGGAGCTGCACTCACCGCAGTACCAACCCCCCCCGCCCCTCCAGGAGCCTTCCAGCAATATCGAACGCTTTCTCAGCGTGCATAGCAAAAATCGCTATCCGGCGATGCGCTCTCCAACGACGACGACAGGCGGCGTCGACGTGGGCGGAGTGGAGGGCTGGGGCTATGGGTTTAGCGGCGGGGGAGGTCCCTATCGCGGCGCTAACAGCCCGATGACGCTTTCTGAATCCGTCGTGGTGGAGCTCTTGCGTTATTTGGTGGATCCTTTATATTACCCGGTGCTTATTACGTGCGCGCGAGGGCGCTATCGCTCAGGGCTGGTGGTTGGATGCTTGCGCAAGCTACAAAGGTGGAATATGGTGTCGATTTTGGAAGAATACCGCCGCTTTGCTGGGGATCGCGGCAGTCCTGAGAATGAAGAGTTTATAGAGTATTTTTACGAAGGTCAGGTGGGGTTGGATTTGCCAGATGGCCGGGAACCTACGATTTTGTACAACGCCTAGACTGAAAATTCTTTATTGCTCGGTCCTCTGCAATGCTGGTAAATACAAAAAAAAACTGGAGGGTGATCATTTAAAATTCGAATATATGTACTGACGTGTTTATACGTATTTCATGGTAGAGGCAATGCTTTATTAGCAGCGATTTGTCTGCATTTTTTTTACCCTATAACATGTGATGTGTTGTTGTCTTTTATTCATTAAATGAAGCAATTAATCCACTTTTTTTTCGTTATTTTCTTATTTCTTCCCCCGATTTCTGTTTACCGAGGCGCCTTGTATTATCCAATGTTGTAAATTGGTATTTTTTTTTACCTGTTCTTTTCCATTTCGAACACTTTTAGTATCATCAAGGGAAAACACGAAAGAAGAAATTAGTAAACTTACACACAGTAAAACACAATAAAGAGCGTGCGAGGCATACCTCAGAATCGGTTATTCATAGTAGTAGTATTGTGCCCTCGACATGCAGCATCAGCGGAAATGCCCCCCTCGACGGACGTTTTGTGAGCCCCTCCGGCAATACCAGCGGGAGAAGGACTTCACCCGGGTGAGCGGGCCGGAGCTCCACGGCCGGCGCGCGGCCGCGTGGTTGGGGATTTGGGATAAGGGCGGCCCCCACACCCGGCTGAACCTTCTGGAGGCCTTCATCGCCCTCCACGCGCGGAGCAATGCGAGCACCTTGACGGACGACCTCGGCGACGCCGCGGCGCTCTTCCTCACGCGCGTGGCCTCCTGGCTGCGGCTGACCTATCTCCGCTTGAAGCCCCCTCCGGCGAAGCGCAAGGCGGACGGCCCCCGCGGGGATGGCCGGCCCCCCC